TTCAATTTCGAGTACAGATCCCCCACTGATCTCAGGTTGTAGAAGACTAATTTCGAATCTGTGCTTCTGAGGCACCTGTTCAGCCTTTGAGACAATCCTCGTACCAAAGGAAACCTAAAACAGGACCTTGCATCTGGGTCTGCCGCTCTCTTAACCCCAGAAGCTCTTCGATTTTTGAACTCTCGCACGCACTTCATGACGAACTTCCCAGGATACTTCACTCGGTCAATATTAGCCTCATGAAAGTGCTCGTGACTAAGTCCAATTGCTCGGTGTAGCATACCGAATACCACACCAACTTTGTGCGCCATCAGATGGTTCGACTCGTAGTTGATAACTCTCCCAGAACTTGTGGGGTTTTGGTACCAATTGAGCTTCAGGCTCCCGTCATTCATCCGATGTATCTTTACATGCAAAAAACTGATGGATCTCTTCACCTCTCTTTCCACAGTAAACTGGATCCGATCATGGATGGAATTGAAGCACTGTAGTACCATATCAATAGAGTCCTCCGGAACCGGCAACACAGTATCGTCTACGTAGAGTTTCAGACATGGAATGTTGCACGGAAACTTCTCCAGGACCTCTGAGATGACGTAATCCATGACGATATCTGCCAGAACCAGGCTAGCCGANATAGAGTCCTCCGGAACCGGCAACACAGTATCGTCTACGTAGAGTTTCAGACATGGAATGTTGCACGGAAACTTCTCCAGGACCTCTGAGATGACGTAATCCATGACGATATCTGCCAGAACCAGGCTAGCCGAGTTGCCCATGCTGCTGCCATCCATTTGAGCGTAAAGTTCATTATCGAAAGTGAAGTAACTACCTTCGAAGCAAAACTTTTCCAGCGCCACCACGAGCTTTTTCGAAGCACGAACACGTGTCGACCATTCCTCCCATTTGTCCTCCACGATCTTCAACACTAGATCTTTAGGGATGTTTGTGAAGAGAGACACTATATCTAGGGATGCCAAAATGTAACCTTGCGGTAGTTGGACCCCACCGGCAAACGTAGAAAACTCAGTTGAGTTGTTGACGCTGAACCTTGAATTACTACTCACAGGGACTAACTGCTCATGTAAAAACCTAGCTACCGTGTACGTAGGGGCTTTTATACAGCTAACAACAGGTCGTAGGTTGCACCCTGGTTTATGTACCTTTCTCAGGCCATACATCCTTGGGGTCGTCGAATTGTGAGTCTTCAAGGCCTTCGCTCTCTCTTCACTAATCACCCCCTCGCGCTGAAGTCTATCTACTAACTCGTTCGCTCTCCTTTCGAGCTTGAAGGTTGGATCTTTCTCAATGCGTTGGTAAGTACTCTCGTCTGCCAGCATCCTCTTCATGATCTGCAGATATGCTTCCCTGTGCATTAACACAGTGGCATTTCCTTTATCCGACCGCGCTACGATCAGATCTCTATTCTCCTTCAGAAATTTCTTAGTGGCTATCGCATCTTGGTCGCGCTGACTGCGGTTGTTGGACCGCGGTTTCAAGTAAAAGTTCGTGATGATGTTAATGGCCTCTGCCCTAATGTTATTTCGCTCCTCTGACTGTTGTTCCTCAGGGTTATCCCTCACCTTTAAACTCTGAATGCAGAGTTCAAGGTCTTTGATGACAGTTGGGATAGGCACCTCACTATTGCGTACCTCTAACCCGAATTTAGGCTCTAGGCACAAGATGCGTTTTACTCCCTCCGGAGGTTCTATATTTGTGAAGTTGAAAAGAGCCGTGTTCTCGTGTGTTGACACCCTAACCAGCGCCGAATTACTTCGGAGAGTCTCCAACTTCTTTCTGTTCTTTACTTTCACCGACCTGAAGATCCCCTCATAGATCTCAGAGATCTTGAATTTGACGTCTCCAAACAGTCCACGCAGGACAGCCATTTCGACGTTGGTTGCTAAGTTGTTGCAATTTTCTTCAAGATCCTTAATCCTCCAAGCAGTAATGCTCATCTCTAGACCCAGAACGGCAGTTTTCATCTTCTTCGCTATTATATCCGCTTCCTTTTTGAACGGTTGATCATCCAATTGGAGCGAGACAATCAATTTGCTGTTATTGTTGGTGTGTTTAGGAGTGACACAATTTCTCCTACACTCCAATAGAAAAATTCTCCTATTATGTAAATTCGCTAGTTTCTTCATCTCGTTCTGCCATTGTTTAATCAATTTACACGTTTGGTCCCCATAGAGTTGTCTGATTTTTCTTCTGGAGTGTAGGAGAAATTGTGTCACTCCTAAACACATCAACAATAACATTAAATTGATTGTCTCGCTCTAATTGGATGACCACCCGTTCAAAAAGAAAGCGGATAGAATAGCGAAGAAGATGAAAATCACGGGTGTGTTCTGAAGACACACGACAGAAGTGAAACTTCCTGGGTGTATATGAGGGTGTATATTTCCTTGTATCGGTTTTTATCGGGAAGTTGATTGAAAAAAGGAATGAAAATGATCCACAACCGACTCAATCAATTTTTTATGTTGGTTTAGTGTCATTTTCAAAAAATAAGTATAGGACGCAGGTATTTGAATAAAAAAAAGGTAGTTTAGGATTCATTTTTGTGGAAATATATTTTTCAAGAATGGCTGATTACATAAAATTTTTTATGGAAATTGCATCAATCAATTCCAATCAGCGATTAATTGGCAAATTTATATGTTCATGAGTCTAGAAGGTTTATTATTAATAATTGAGTTCTTTTCGCATATGGCGTGTACAAAATTGTGAACTGGATTCTCAAATAGTTATTCTGATTTATGGCAACTCTACTCTGATTTTTATGTTTCGATATCCGTATCTGCTTGTTGATTATCGGACTCTATCATTGTTACTATTGGTTTGTGATAACTAAAATAAGACTCAAATGTTTGTGATTCGATTTTCTTCAAATTTCGGCTGAATACAGCATCAATCGTCGTACCCGACCTGGTTGTTGGAATTTTAATATCGCTATTAATTTTCAAATTCAATTCCCTTCCCAGAAAGTCGATTAGAGGTTGATTTTCTGGCTTGGCAAAGTTGACATTGAAGTCTCCGCTCATGATCATCGAGAAACTCCCCCAGTCCTTTTTCAGCAATGCTGCACCAGCAGGTGTGTATGATAAGAGGACGTGACTAATAAATCCGATAATGTCATCGACTTTCTTGTTAGGTGATATATAAACAGCAACAATCAGTAGAAATTGTCCATTGTCAAGAGTACATCTTGCAGAACAGATATCTCCAATGTCGCAAGTACCAACATCCATTGCATTCATTTGTCTCAGAGATACTGCCAAATGTGGAGTGACAGTGATTGCGCTATTCGACTTCCGATAAATCGCCACACCAGCAAATCTCGTTTTCTCTCGTTTGAATTTGGCGACACAGTTGAAATTCGGGATATCCACATTGTCGTCGGATTTCAACCAAGTTTCACTTAGCATCAAAAACGATGAATTCCTGGCAACTTCGTCTTGTAAATCCGGTGCATGCAGTTTTAAAGTTTGACAATTTAGTGTGAATACAGAAATCCCATTTTTCCCCGATATGAAGTCTAGTACTTGTTGTCCAACTGTTTGTAACTTGTTGAGACTTAGTCTCCTGAATTCGGCTTGTAAATCTGTTGATGATGTCGATGTCCTTCGTCCATGATAAAAAACCGGATCATTTTTAGGTGTGACAATGTACAGTCCCTCGATGCTTGTGACTCTGGATAGCGCAACGTATAATAACTGCTGTCAATGAGTTTTTTCATATTCGTAAACAATTTCATCAAAGGTCCCTCCTTGCGATTTATGTATTGTGACTGCACAACATGACACAATTGGTAGCTGACTCCTCTGAGCCGCAGTACTCTTGTTATTATTCATATAAACTGTCGTAGTTCGTCTTACGATAGGCACTGCAGTTCGACTGATATTGGTTTCCTGTACATAAGCACTCACTTTCTTTCTCACCTTTGCACCGACTTTCGACGCATTGGTCTAGAAACTGTTTCTTGAATTCTTTTCGTACACTGTCATGAGCTGCAAAGTCACTATACGCGAAGTTCGCTCTGTTAAATCGGGTTCATTACTCGTTGATGGTGTTGCAATTGTTTCTGATGATTCTGCCACCGCAGCCGGTATTGTAGAACCCGGAATTGATACACCTGCCTGGGCTGCAGTCGATAACGCCTTCTTTCGCACCCTGTACTCTCGCATCCGTTCACTTGCACTTTTTCGCGCTTGTTTTGGCGGTTTATTTCCACGTTGTCTTTGATAATACGCCTTATCCACTTCTTTTTTCGACTTCGTTTTAGCCATTATGTACACGGTACACGATCGCACGATTTATTGGTGTGTATAAAATGTCGAAAATGAGTATAGAAAACTCAATGTCCACGATAAAAATAATAGCACCTGTTAAGCCCTTCACTAGTCCAACACTATGTTCAAGATGAACAAAAAATCTTTAAAATCAACCACAATATCACCACAAAAGTAAGTTTAATAGATGGCGTTACGAAAACTGTGGAGCCAACAAACACAACCCGCGTTACAAAAACCCACGTGCTTTATTCGTACTGCTGGGAACTAACGCGTCATTCCAGCCGCCGCTCCCCCACCCTGGCTTTCTCTACTCTTCTCTCGGCCGTCTACTCTTTGTTGGGCACTAACGCGTCATTCCAACGGCCGACCCCTCCGCTAATCCATACTCTTCTCGCTGCCGTTTACTGTCGCAACAAGCAGCTGCTTGCCCCCCCCCCCTCGCGGCGCTCCCTACGACCACTACAGTATGCGTCAGAGTGGAGCTGCTACCGAGGCAGACTCCCCTGTCTTGCTGTTCTCCCCACCACGCTTCGACCTATTCCCCTCACGGGATCGGAATTTTCGTAGCGCTCCGAAAATTTCATACCCCCGGCAAAGAAGTTTCACTTTAAAACTGCTGTTCTGGGTCTCGAGATAAGCATTACTGCTTGGCGGATTAAGGAGCTTGAAGGAAATTGCAAAAACTTAGCATCCAACGTCGAAATGGCGGTCCCGTGGGGACTGTTTGGAGACGTCAAATTCAAGGTCTCTGAGATCTATGAGGGGATCTTCAGGTCGGTGAAAGTGAAGAACAGAAAGAAGTTGGAGACTCTCCGAAGTAATTCGGCGCTGGTTAGCGTGTCAACACATGAGAACACGGCTTTTTTCAACTTCACAAATATAGAACCTCCGGAGAGAGTAAAAGGCAACTTGTGCCTAGAGACTAAATTCGGGTTAGAGGTACGCAATAGTGAGATGCCTATCTCAACTGTCATCAAAGACCTTGAACTCTGCATTCAGAGTGTAAAGATGAGGGATATCCCTGAGGAACAACACTCAGAAAAGAGAAATAACATTAGGGCAGAAGCCATTAACATCATCACGAACTTTCACTTGAAACCGAGGTCCAACAACCGCAGTCAGCGCGACCAAGATGCGATAGCAACTAAGAAATTTCTAAAGGAGAATAGAGACCTGATCGTAGCGCGATCAGATAAAGGAAAAGCCACTGTGTTAATGCACAGGGAAGAATATCTGCAGGTCATGAAGAGGATGCTGGCAGACGAGGATACTTGCCAACGCATTGAGAAAGATGTAACTTTCAAGCTCGAAAGGAGAGCGAACGAGTTAGTAGATAGTCTTCAGTGCGAGGGGGTGATTAGTGAAGAGAGAGCGAAGGCCTTGAAGACTCACAATTCGACGACCCCAAGGATGTATGGCCTGAGAAAGGTACATAAACCAGGGTGCAACCTACGACCTGTTGTTAGCTGTATAAAAGCCCCTATGTACAAGGTAGCTAGGTTTTTACATGAGCTGTTAGTCCCTGTGAGTAGTAATTCAAGGTTCAGCGTCAACAACTCAGCTGAGTTTGCTACGTTTGCCGGTGGGGTCCAACTACCGCAAGGTTATATTTTGGCATCCCTAGATGTAGTGTCTCTCTTCACAAACATCCCTAAAGATCTAGTGTTGAAGATCGTGGAGGACAAATGGGAGGAATGGTCCACACGTGTTCGTGCTTCGAAAAAGCTCGTGGTGGCGCTGGAAAAGTTTTGCTTCGAAGGTAGTTACTTCACTTTCGATAATGAACTTTAAGCTCAAATGGATGGCAGCAGCATGGGCAACCCGGCTAGCCCGGTTCTGGCAGATATCGTCATGGATTACGTCATCTCAGAGGTCCTGGAGAAGTTTCCGTGCAACATTCCATTGCTGAAACTCTATGTAGACGATACTGTGTTGCCGGTTCCGGAGGACTCTATTGATATGGTACTACAGTGCTTCAATTCCATCCATGATCGGATCCAGTTTACTGTGGAAAGAGAGATGGAGAGATCCATCAGTTTTTTGGATGTAAAGATATATCGGATGAATGACGGGAGCCTGAAGCTCAATTGGTAGCAAAAACCCACAAGTTCTGGGAGAGTTATCAACTACGAGTCGATCCATCTGATGGCGCACAAAGTTGGTGTGGTATTCGGCATGCTACACCGAGCAATTGGACTCAGTCACGAGGACTTTCATGAGGCTAATATTCACCGAGTTAAAGACACTTTAACGAAGAACGGTTATGCTGGGAATTTCGTCATGAATTGCGTGCGAGAGTTCAAAAATCGAAGACCTTCTGGGGTTAAGAGAGCGGCAGACCCAGATGCAAGGTCCTGTTTTAGGTTTCCTTTGGTACGAGGATTATCTCAAAGGCTGAACAGGTGCCTCAGAAGCACAGATTCGAAATTGGTCTTCTACAACCTGAGATCAGTGGGGGATCGGTACTCGAAATTGAAAGACCCGATTCCATTGCTATCGAGGTCAGAAGTTGTGTACAAAATTCCATGCGAGTGTGACAACTTACATCGGAAAGACTCGGCAGAAGCTGGCCGCCAGGATTCGTCAACATCGGTATGACTGCGCACCCTCGAGAGAGGGAGAGAGAGGGAGAGAGAGAGGGAGAGAGAGAGGGAGAGAGAGAGAGAGAGAGAGAGAGAGAGAGAGAGAGCGAGAGAGAGAGAGAGAGAGAGAGAGAGAGAGCGAGAGAGAGAGAGAGAGAGAGAGAGAGAGAGCGAGAGAGAGAGAGAGAGAGAGAGAGAGAGAGCGAGAGAGAGAGAGAGAGAGAGAGAGAGAGAGCGAGAGAGAGAGAGAGAGAGAGAGAGAGAGAGCGAGAGAGAGAGAGAGAGAGAGAGAGAGAGAGCGAGAGAGAGAGAGAGAGAGAGAGAGAGAGAGCGAGAGAGAGAGAGAGAGAGAGAGAGAGAGAGCGAGAGAGAGAGAGAGAGAGAGAGAGAGAGAGCGAGAGAGAGAGAGAGAGAGAGAGAGAGAGAGCGAGAGAGAGAGAGAGAGAGAGAGAGAGAGAGCGAGAGAGAGAGAGAGAGAGAGAGAGAGAGAGCGAGAGAGAGAGAGAGAGAGAGAGAGAGAGAGCGAGAGAGAGAGAGAGAGAGAGAGAGAGAGAGCGAGAGAGAGAGAGAGAGAGAGAGAGAGAGAGCGAGAGAGAGAGAGAGAGAGAGAGAGAGAGAGCGAGAGAGAGAGAGAGAGAGAGAGAGAGAGAGCGAGAGAGAGAGAGAGAGAGAGAGAGAGAGAGCGAGAGAGAGAGAGAGAGAGAGAGAGAGAGAGCGAGAGAGAGAGAGAGAGAGAGAGAGAGAGAGCGAGAGAGAGAGAGAGAGAGAGAGAGAGAGAGCGAGAGAGAGAGAGAGAGAGAGAGAGAGAGAGCGAGAGAGAGAGAGAGAGAGAGAGAGAGAGAGCGAGAGAGAGAGAGAGAGAGAGAGAGAGAGAGCGAGAGAGAGAGAGAGAGAGAGAGAGAGAGAGCGAGAGAGAGAGAGAGAGAGAGAGAGAGAGAGCGAGAGAGAGAGAGAGAGAGAGAGAGAGAGAGCGAGAGAGAGAGAGAGAGAGAGAGAGAGAGAGCGAGAGAGAGAGAGAGAGAGAGAGAGAGAGAGCGAGAGAGAGAGAGAGAGAGAGAGAGAGAGAGCGAGAGAGAGAGAGAGAGAGAGAGAGAGAGAGCGAGAGAGAGAGAGAGAGAGAGAGAGAGAGAGCGAGAGAGAGAGAGAGAGAGAGAGAGAGAGAGCGAGAGAGAGAGAGAGAGAGAGAGAGAGAGAGCGAGAGAGAGAGAGAGAGAGAGAGAGAGAGAGCGAGAGAGAGAGAGAGAGAGAGAGAGAGAGAGCGAGAGAGAGAGAGAGAGAGAGAGAGAGAGAGCGAGAGAGAGAGAGAGAGAGAGAGAGAGAGAGCGAGAGAGAGAGAGAGAGAGAGAGAGAGAGAGCGAGAGAGAGAGAGAGAGAGAGAGAGAGAGAGCGAGAGAGAGAGAGAGAGAGAGAGAGAGAGAGCGAGAGAGAGAGAGAGAGAGAGAGAGAGAGAGCGAGAGAGAGAGAGAGAGAGAGAGAGAGAGAGCGAGAGAGAGAGAGAGAGAGAGAGAGAGAGAGCGAGAGAGAGAGAGAGAGAGAGAGAGAGAGAGCGAGAGAGAGAGAGAGAGAGAGAGAGAGAGAGCGAGAGAGAGAGAGAGAGAGAGAGAGAGAGAGCGAGAGAGAGAGAGAGAGAGAGAGAGAGAGAGCGAGAGAGAGAGAGAGAGAGAGAGAGAGAGAGCGAGAGAGAGAGAGAGAGAGAGAGAGAGAGAGCGAGAGAGAGAGAGAGAGAGAGAGAGAGAGAGCGAGAGAGAGAGAGAGAGAGAGAGAGAGAGAGCGAGAGAGAGAGAGAGAGAGAGAGAGAGAGAGCGAGAGAGAGAGAGAGAGAGAGAGAGAGAGAGCGAGAGAGAGAGAGAGAGAGAGAGAGAGAGAGCGAGAGAGAGAGAGAGAGAGAGAGAGAGAGAGTGAGAGAGAGAGAGATAGAGAGACAGAGACAGAGTGAGAGAGAGAGACAGAGAGAGACAGAGAGAGGGAGAGAGAGCGGTTCAGCTGTCGGATTGTCGGTAATGAGCGTAACATTTACGATTGATGTGAAAACTGTGGTGTATGGATGATAACGCGGCATGTACAGATGATAAGTTTACACACACTTCATCGCCAACTATAGATGAATAGACCCTCAGAGCTGTCTATTCGATTAGAATTACAATTGTCTGGGTCTGTCGCGAGTGACAACACTCTGTAAAATTTTTCGCTGGGAAGAAGCATTTATAGATAGTAGCAATTATGGGCAGGAAGAGGAAACATGAAGGCAGTGATAATAATAAACAGAAAAAAAATACAGAACGGAATGAAACTGTTCAAATTGTGGGTGCAGTTGAGCCATCGACGTCAAACGATGATGAAAACAATTTTGAAGAGATTATAACAAATGTGCTGAGAGACCGTTATAATAGGTATTTCGATTTCGAAATCATTAGTCTGGAAGTGGTTAATGTGAAGTTTGGAGTTTGTAAAATGTGTCGTGAGAGTGATATTACAACTAAAATTAAAATGCTACAATCAAATACGAAGGGATTGAAGTGGCATCTACAGAAGAACCACCACGATGTTCATCAATTATTAGTTCCATCAAAAGAGACGTCCGAGACAAATACATCCACTCGAGTAAAAAAAATGGACGTATGAATGCATTCGACCATAAACTCGTACAATTTGTTAGTGGGATGAACAAAGTCACCGATTCACAGGCACCAGATTTGGGGCCTATTTCGTGAAAATCAAATAGAAATATCAATTCAAATGGTTCGGCACGATGAAATACTATTCGAAATTGATATTCCAAGTTGACTATTTCTAATTTCTAATCCTTGTTTTCAGAATCTCGATCCGGTATAGTTTGCAATACGTTCAGTGGAGTTCATCGCTGTTAAATATTTGCTACTCAGTTTCTATGATGATGGATGCAGTCAAGAATATTTCAATTACCTTAATCCAACAATTGATTATCCTAAAAGGACATCGATGACGGAGAAAGTCACCCAAATTTTCTCTAAAACTCTCGAGATTGTGAAACTCGTGTTACAGGACCATCCATCAAAAATATCATTCACCATCGATGGACCCATCGGTGGACATCACTAAGGGGAAAATCCTATTACGGAATCACTGCTCATTTAATCGACGACGAGTGGAAACTGCAATCATTAGCCCTTGATTTCATTCCATCGAAGAGTCAGCATATAGGAGTCAATATCCCTAATTTTTTCTACGAGTCACTTAAAGATCTGGAAATCGTAGATAAAATTCAAGGAATAACTGTTGACAACGCGTCTATGAATACCACATTTATGGAGGAACTTCAATCTCGATTTCTACTTGATGGTATACTCTTCCGCTCTGAGGATCAACATTTTCGTTGTTTCCCCCACATCATCAATCTTGCAGTAAAAGATGTGCTCACCAAGTTGAAAATCGATGATACAGACAAGAAGTTGCGCAAATTGTGTAAAGCTTTAAATTTTTCTGAAAAACTACAGCTTGATTGGGAACGATTCTGCAATATTTTTGATGAAAAATATATTCAATTACCACTGGACACATCGACTAGGTGGAATAGTACCTATGGTATGATATCAGTTGGGTTAAAGATGATAAAAGCTCTCACCGCGCTTACTTTCAATTATAAACATCTAAAACAATTCCATCTTGAGGAGAAAGAGTGGAATTCATTGTTACTATTGGAGAAATATTTCCTCATTTTTTCACAGTTATCGAATTCATGATGTGAAGATCAGTACGCCACGCTGCCTCTAGTGATCGTAGGTGTTAATATCGTAATTGACAGTCTTGAAGAGTTGTGTACTCGTCTTGATAATAAACCTGATCATCAAAAAATCGATGAATCAGTGTTATTGGCATTCCAAGAAGGTCGAGACAAACTCCTCAAACATTACAGAATGGCTAATTGGATTTATTGTGCAGTTTTAGTATTGGAGCCAAGACATAAACTGGAGACTTTCGACAGATCGGAATGAGGCAAGGACTTGAAGAACGACTCGTATGCTAAGTTTGAAGACATCTTCAGAACTAAATACGTAGGAATAGAAGAGTTGCAGTCTGAGGAAAGTGAATCGCATCCGGAGATGAGCTCGGGGGATGAATATCAGAGGAGATTAGAAGCTCTTTACGGTCCACAGTCATTAAAAAAACCAGTGTGGAGAGTCGAATTGGATAGTTACTTGCAGAGTGACCGAGTAGATGGAAATATCCATA